CCATACCAGGCAACATCCTGGTGAACCTCCTCTGCACCCTCTCCAAAGCATCCACATCCTTTTGGTAATGTGGCAACCAGAACTGTACGCAGAATTTTATAAAGTTGGCTTATTTCTTGGGTGTGGGGCAGTTAGGGTACAAGTGGACAGAGAATACTGTTTTCTCACAAAAAAGGAAACAAGGAGCCACTCATGTTTGCTCAATCTGGCAGCAGAACTTGCGTTTCCCTTCAGCAGCACCTGGGGCACAAAATGAGGACCAGTTAAGTCTACACCACACTGTTCCCTGGAAAAGTGCTTGACTTTTCCCAGTCTCAGGGCATGGACAGGATTAGGATTAGGATTAGTTGCCCGGAGGTGATGGCAGTGGGCTGAGCCAGCTGCTGCAGATTTTTAAAAAAAATTTATTCATTTTTTAGGATGTAGGCATCGCTGGCTGGGCCAGCTTTTATTGCTCATCCTTGTTGCCCTTGAGAAGGTGGTGGTGAGCTGCCTTCTTGAACCGCTGTGGTCCACCTGCTGTGGGTTGATCCACAATTCTATTAGGGAGGGAATTACAGCATTTTGACTCAGCAACAGTGAAGGGACAGCAATGGTGAGTGGCTTGGAGGAGAACTTGAAGGTGGTGGTGTTACTGTACATCTGCTGCCCTTGTCCTTCTAGATGCAAGTGATCGTGGGTTTGGAAGGTGCTGTCTAAGGATCTTTGGTGAATTTCTGCAGTGCGTCTTGTAGATAGTACACACCGCTGCTACTGAGCGTCGGTGGTGGAGGGAGTGGATGCTTGTGGATGTGGTGCCAATCAAGCAGGCTCTTTGTCTTGGATGGTGTCAAGCTTCGAGCGTTGTTGGGACTGCTCCCATCCAGGCAAATGGGGAATATTCCATCACACTCCTGACTTGTGCCTTGTTAATGGTGGACAGGCTTTGGGCAGTCAGGAGGTAATTTACTTGTTGCTGTATTCCTAGCTTCTGGCCTGCTCTTGTAGCCACTGCGTTTATGTGGTGAGTCCAGTTGAGTTTCTGATCAAAGATAACTCCCAGGATGTTGATAGTGGGGGATTCAGTGATGGTAACATTACTGAATGTCAAAGGGCAGTAGTTAGATTGTCTCTTATTGGTGATGGTCATAGCCTGGCATTTTTATGGCGTGAATGTTATTTGCCACTTGTCAACCCAAGCCTGGATATTGTCCAGAACTTACTGCACGTGGACACGGACCACTTCAGTATCTGAGGAGTTGTGAATGCTACTGAACATTGCATAATCATCAGTGAACATTGCCACTTCTGAACTTACGATGGAGGGAAGGTCACTGACGTAGCAGCTGAAGATGGTTGGGCCGAGGACACTACTCTGAGAAACATCTGCAGAGATGTCCTGGAGCTGAGATGACTGACTTCCAACAAACACAACCATTTTCCTCTGTGTCAGGTATGATCCTAACCATATATAAAAGTGAGTGAAAACCGAAAGAACTGCGGATACTGTAAATCAGGAACAAAAACAAAGTTGCTGGAAAAGCTCAGCAAGCCTGGCAGCATTTGTGAAGGAAAAAAACAAGAGTTAACGTTTCGGGTCCAGTGACCCTTCCTCAGAACTGATGGTGGCTGGGAAAACGTCAGTTTATATGCAGAAAGAAAGGGGAGGGGGATGGGGTAGGGAGTAAACGATAGGATAGAGCCTAAAGACAGAGAAGAGCAGTTGGATAGACAAAGAGTTGATAACGATTAGGCTGGGAGGGTGAATAGTTGGTAATGGGGACTATTAGTGACTAATAACAAGTAGTGTGTAATGGCAGGCTATGTGGTAACAAGGCGTGGAGTGTGGGGTAGGGGGCTGGGACATGGGAGCATTTAGGCCCTAAAAGTGAGTGTACTGTTCAACCATTTCAGAAGTTAGCGAGGAGTCAACAATGTTGGTGTGGGACTGACGATATTTTCAGGTCCGAAAATCAGGTAAAATGGCAGATTTCCTTCTCTGAAGGGAACTGAACAAATTGGGTTGGTTACAATAATCTGGTCATGGTCACTTATAGTATTATCTGATTCGTAAACCAAATTTAAAATTTTCAGGATGCCATGGTGGGATTTGAAGTCATGGTCTCAGGATTGTGGTTTCAGTGACACATTCACTAACTACCACAGGCCTGACACAGCACTTGGGACAGCATCACTGGGATAAGACTAAAGCGCAATATCCTTACTCCACAATTCCTGGTACTCAGCAGGGAGGATGTATGCCTGAGGTACAATGTTGAAATGCTTGAAACCAAACGTTTGCTGCATGCGTTGGATATTTTTGTACAGCCGATCCTTCCTGGTCAATTCATAGGATCTGAAACAAAGAAAATTCAATAAGTATAAAAGACAAATCAGCATTTACTGAGCATTAAATCATGGGCATGATGGGGACAGTAGTTTGATTTTATGGCAGATTTCCCATAACTCACATGGAGTTGCTCACAGTGAACGGAAACTACACTGTACCTCAATCACAATCGTTACAGGCCAAGGATATGAGTCAGCCCAGTGGTCTGCACTTACTCGCTCCAAATCAGCATTTCACTTAATGACACTCCCCTGCTCATTGTTTTGCATCAAGTAACAATCCAACGCCCATTTGAATGCTTTGATTAGCCCATTCCAGAGCTTAACCATTCGGCTACATGAAAGCTTTCTTTCTCCTATCACACTTGTTGTTTTTTTTTGCCAGCTATTTTAAATCTCTGCTTTCTTATTTGTGCTCTTTTCACAATGGTAACAGTTTCTCCCTATCTACTACCTTCAATGTTTTGAACATCTCCATCAAATCTCCTCCTAGCCTTCAACCTCTCAGACAATAACATAAGTTCCTAACTAACCTCAATTCCAACATCTAACTTTTGAACTGAAGATCCTCATGGAACCATTCTTATGAATCTTAACTGAACTTTCTCCACTGCTTTCACATCATAACACAAAATAATACCCTTTCTTCCCCCACCGCTCCCACACCTTTCCTGGGGCTATACTTTTGATTTTCAGAGGCTATTTTACCATTCTCACTAACTCCTTGAATAGATGATGTAGTCACATACTGACATTACCTTCTGTATTTCTATCGACATGTAGGATATTTGAACACTCACAGAGAATTCATCAATACCTTCGGTGATTATCGACTCCATTAAACTTAAAGCCACAACACACAAGGAAAGTTTTAGTTTCCTAGATAGCACAGTATCTAAAATGGCACAGGACAACAGGCACAACCTAACAATAGGTTTTTTTGTACGCACCGCACCATGACCCCCACCGCCACACACCCCGCCACCCCCAAAATAATTGACATATACTTCTACAGACAAAAAGACATGACCCTACACCTTCCGCAGATTGTTGAGATGACAGCTAAATGCATTTCCATCATGCATTCACAAAGTTGGAATATTTTAAAACAGGTATTTCCTACCCTCTTACTGCACTTTAGATCTCAATCGGAGATTTAAATTTAACAATTGACAGTGTTCATTACAGTAGCATTCACTACAACCTTTCTGAGCATTCACAGCCTTAAGCTAGAGATATCACATTAATTTGCATGTAATTCATCTTGCCAGACCTTCAAGATCCCCTAACGCTGAGTTTATAGAATGACAGGATTGAACCTGTTCTCTCTTTCCACTCCCTTTTGTCTGCCTCTCTTTCCCAACCTCCTTGCAAACCCCCTCTCACCTAGATTGTAGCTCCATGTTTACTCCCAGCCCCACTGTGGCATTTCTCCCACCGACACCCATTTCCCCCTCACCAGCCCTCCTTGCAACCCCGGTCTCTCCTCATCAAGTTCCATATGCCCCACCCCTCTAAGGGTGCAGGAAAGATGCAGGAGCACCCAAGGAAACATTGCAATAGAAATTAAGAATACCCACAATAAGTGGATTCAACTTGGTTGGAAATAAAACTGCAATCAAACAAATAAATCAAGCTTTCAAAGAAATATCATCCAGAATATATACCTGGGGAAGTGATTGACTTTTTGAAATTCCAGCAGTGAGCGCAAAACATAAGGTTTAAGATGAGAACCTGTCCACATCAGGTTGAAATCATTACTGTTGGGATGGACCTGTAAGGAAAAAAGGGAGATACAACTGAATGAGTACCAATCTGCTTTGGAAGCTTTGTATTATTAAGGAGTGGTATGTCAGTGCTAATAGCCTTTCCACATTAAAACATTATCAGCCTCAAGTCAGGCACATTTTTCATTCCTTGATGCAACATGGCAGTCAGTGGTAAGGCCAACATTTATTCTCATTCCTAAATACTTAAGAGGACATTGGGTAATTATTTGGATAGAAATAACGTGCAAGGATATTGGGGTAAATCAAGAGATTGGCGCTAAATAATGATGCTCATTTTAAGAAGCAGCGAGAACATGATGAGCTGAATGACCTCATTCTGAGCTGTAGGACTTTTCTGTCCATGATTACATTTTAAGAAAAAAATAGATATATTTCTAGAAGCTAAACGTTTAAAAGTTTCAAGGGTATGCAAAGAGAGCAAGATCAGCCATGATCATGTTAAATAGCTGAGCAGGCACAAAGTGCCGAATGGCTTAGACCTGCCCTCTTTTTAATGTTTTTCTGTTGATAATTCATGAGGAAGTGATGGCCTAGTGGTATTATTGCTGGACTGTTAATCCAGAAACCCAGGTAATGCTCTGGGTACCTGGGTTGGAATCCCACCATGGCAGATGATAGAATTGGAATTCAATAAAAATCTGGAATTAAGAATCTTATGATGACCATGAAAATCATTGTCAATTGTCAGAATAACCTATCTGGCTCACTGATGTCCTTTAAGGAAGGAAACTGCCATCCTTACCTGGTCTGGCCTACATGTGACTCCAGACCCACAGCAATGTGGCTGACTCTGAACTGCCCTCTGGGCAATTAGGAATGAGTAATAAATACTGGCCTGGTCAGCGATATCCTCATCCCATGAATGAATGAAAAAAGCGAGGTGCTAAAAAAAATTCCAACCAGCAGACAGTTTCCCCCCTTCATTTCCATTAAAGGGTCTTTCTAGGATTCCTTGATATGACACATGCACTGATCATGTCCTCCACAGTATCCTCAGGACCTGCTGGCAGCACCACAAACACTGAACTCCTCTAAACAGCCAACACCAATGTGGCCATCCTCCTGCAAAGCAAAATGCACTTGGCAGATCATGTTTCCTGAATGGACATCAGTCAACTTCCTCAGAAAGAAATATCAAGAGCTAACCACCAGTAAACAGAACAAAGGGGCCCACCCTAACATTTCAAAGGTCCTTTCAGGAAGCCCTTCTCACTGTTTCACATTGACCATCGTCAGCCCACAGATTGTGATGTTTGGAGATGTTACATGGAGAGTGTTACAGGGACCTTTGAGACTGAGTAAAGAGCAAGCATGTTAGAGAAAAAGAGGAGCAATCCAATTGGCCCCAGCACCAACTGGGTCTTCACTTGTACCCACTGTGGAAGAATCTACTGGTCATGGATAGGCCTGACTAGTTATCAATGAGTTTGCAACCAGTAAACATAACACATCTAAAATCTTCGTCAATGCAGAAATAACAAGAAAGAGACATAGTCACTCTCAGGTCACCATTGTAATTCAATTTTTTTATGTCCATGTTCAGATCAAGGCTGTAATGTGGTCAGGGGGTGAGTGTACTGGCAGAACCCAAAACAGTGAGGAGGTTATTGTCAAGTGCTCGGCTTAAAATTGGCTTAACAGCGGGAGATGGAGGGGGATGGTGGAGGGCTGTATTTCAGACTGAAGGCCTGTGACCAGCAGTGTTGCACAGGGATCGGAGCTGGGTCCACTTTTGTTTGAGATTTATATAAATTATTTAGATCAGAATGTACAAAGTACAGTTAGTAAGTTTGAGGATGACACAAAGATTAATGGTGTAGTGGACAGTGAAGAAGGTTATCTAAGATTACAAAGAGATCTTGATCAGTTGGGTCAATGGGCTGAAGAGGGGCAAATAACTTTAAATTTAAACTTGGACATTGTGAGGTATTGCACTTTGGTAAAACAAACAAAGATAAGATTTATACAATTAAAGGTAGGGCCTTGGGCAGTGTTGTAGAACAGAGTCCCAGGGGTTCAGATACATAATTCTTTGAAGTTCGCATCACATACAGATGGGGTGGTTAAGAGGGCATTTAGCACGCTTGCCTTCATTGCTCAGACGTTTGAATAAAAGAGTTGGGAGTTATTGTGTACAGTTTTGGGCCCCATATCTCAGGAAGGATGTACTGGCCCTGGAGCGGGTTCAGAGAAAGCTCACGAGAATGGTCCCAGGAATAAAAAGCTTAACATATGAGGAATGTTTGAGGACCCTGGCTCTATACTCGATGGAGTTTAGAAGGATGAAGGGGAATCTAAATGAAACTAAGAGAATACTGAATTGCCTGGACAAATTGGATGTTGGGAAGATGTTTCCATTGGTAGGAGAGACTAGGACCCGAGGTCACAGCCATAGAGTAAAGGGAAGATTTTTTAGAACGGAGAGAAGGATAAGCTTCTTCAGCCAGAGTGTGGTGAATCTATGGAACTCACTGCCACAGAAGGCTGTGCAGGGCAGGTCATTAAGTATATTTAAGACTGAGACAGATAGGTTCTTGATTATCAAGGGGATCAAGGGTTGCGGGGAGAAAGTGGGAGAACGGGGTTACTTATCAGCCATGATTGAATGGTGGAGCAGACTCAATGGGCTGAATGACCTAATTTCTGCTCCTGTGTCGAGGTTGTACAGGATGCTGATGAGGCCTCTGCTGCAGTACTATGTCCAGTTCTGATCTCCCTGTTATAGGGAGGACATTATTAAGGTGGAGTGAGTTCAGAAGAGATTTACCAGGGTATTGCTGGAAATGGAGGGTTCAAGTTAAGGAGGGGGGGAAAGGCTGGGACTTCTTTCACTGGAGCGTAGGTGGTGAAGAGGTGACCTTAGAGAGGTTTATAAAGTAACAACAGGTATAGATAAGATGAATGGCAGGTGCCTTTTCCTTAGGGTGTGGTATTTCAAGAGTAGGGGGCATATTTTTAAGGAGAGGAGAAAGATTTACAAAAGACAAGAGGGGCATTTTTTTAAAAACACAGAGCATTGATCGTGTGTGGTATCAACTTCCAGAGGAAGTGGTGGATGTGGGTACAGTTACAATGTTTAAAAGATATTTAGATAAGAAATTAATAAGAAAAATGTTTGGAGGAATATATGGGCTAAGCGCAAGCAGGAGGGACGAGTTTAGCTTGAGATTATGGTCGGATTGGGCTGGTTGAACCAAAGGGTGTCAGCATAACTAAATCCACCACCATTAACAACTTGAGGACATCATTGTCCAGAACTGAACTGGACTTGCCATATAAATACTGTGGCTGTATGAACAGCTCAGAGGCTAGAAATCCTGCAGTGAGTAATTCATCTCCTGACTGCCCAAAGCCTGTCCACTGACTACAAGGTACATGTCAGGAAGCGTTATGGAATACTCCCCACTTTCCTGGATGAGCGTAGCTCCAAAACTGGCAGTTTTTTGCCAATATGAGGCAAAAAGCGAGTCACTATAGATGGAGACAACAAGGTGCAGGGCTGGATGAACACAGCAGGCCAAGCAGCATCATAGGAGCAGAGAGGCTGACGTTTCGGGCCTAGACCCTTCATCAGAAAAGGGGGAGGGGAAGGGGGTTCTGAAATAAATAGGGAGAGATTGGGAGGCGGATAGAAGATGGATAGAGGAGAGGATAGGTGGAGAGGAAACAAACAGGTCGAAGAGGCGGGGATGGGGCCAGTAAACCGCCATCTGCAATCCGACCCCACCACCAAAGACGCCATCTGCAATCCGACCCCACCACCAAAGAACCACCCACGCCCTCCACCTCCGCCAGAACTTCCAATTCCCCGGTCCCCACCACCTCATCTTTACCATGGACGTCCAGTCCCTCTACACCTGCATTCCCCATGCAGATGGCCTTAAGGCCCTCCGCTTCTTCCTGTCCCGCAGGCCCGACCAGTCCCCCTCCACTGACACCCTCATCCGCTTAGCCGAACTCGTCCTCACACTCAACAACTTCTCTTTCAATTCCTCCCACTTCCTACAGACAAAGGGGGTGGCCATGGGTACCCGCATGGGCCCAAGCTATGCCTGCCTCTTTGTAGGTTACGTGGAACAATCCCTCTTCCGTACCTACACTGGCCCTAAACCCCACCTCTTCCTCTGTTACATCGATGACTGTATCGGCGCCGCCTCGTGCTCCCACGAGGAGCTCGAACAGTTCAGCCACTTCACTAACACCTTCCACCCCAACCTTAAGTTGACCTGGACCATCTCTAACACCTCTCTCCCCTTCCTGGACCTCTCGGTCTCCATATCGGGCAGCCACCTAGAAACCGATATTCATTTCAAGCCCATTGACTCCCACAGCTACCTAGAATACTCCTCCTCCCACCCACCTTCCTGCAAAAATGCTATCCCCTATTCCCAATTCCTTCGCCTCCGCCGCATCTGCTCCCAGGATGAGGCATTCCACTCCCGTACATCTCAGTTGTCCTCGTTTTTCAAGGACCGTAACTTCCCCCACTCAGTGCACGAGAACGCCCTCAACCGTGTCTCCCACATCTCCCGCAACTCATCCCTCACACCCCGTCCACGCAATAAGAACCAAAAAAGAATTCCCCTCGTCCTCACGTACCACCCCACCAACCTCCGGATCCAACGCATCATCCTCCGACACTTCCGCCATCTGCAATCCGACCCCACCACCAAAGACATCTTTCCCTCCCCACCCTTATCTGCTTTCCGGAGGGACAACTCTCTCCGTGACTCCCTTGTCCGCTCCACACTCCCCTCCAGCTCCACCACACCCGGCACTTTTCCCTGCAACCGCAGGAAGTGCTACACCTGCCCCCATACCTCCTCCCTCACCCCCATCCCAGGCCCCAAGAAGACTTTCCACATCAAGCAGATGTTCACCTGCACATCTGCCAATGTGGTATACTGCATCCGCTGTACCCGGTGTGGCTTCCTCTACATCGGGGAAACCAAGCGGAGACTCGGGGACCGCTTTGCAGAACACC